GGGAGGCCCTGTGGCTTTGGGGTTCACGGCCCCCCTCCGCGGCTCCCCCCTCACCAGCGCCCTCCCCGCACCGCTGCCCACAGTGGGCCTCTCCCCGCTGGTTCCATTCAGACCTGAGCCCGTCTTCCCAGCCCCGCGGCCGAGGCCCCGTCCCCTCGCAGACACTCACCGGGTGCAGAGGAGGCAGGAGGAGGCTGAGCTGAGCAGGCTGTGGATGTGGAGCCCAGGGCGGGAGGCCTTTTATCCCGTGCTGGGCTGGTGACACATGGCCCCAGCATGCTGCTGCTTTCTCAACCGGGGGAGGTGACAGCCTGTCACACCCCCAGGACTAGACTTCCAGCCTTTTTCCTGAGCACTTAATTGCACAATGTCCAACGAGTGAAGTTCCACCAGGAAACGTGGTGACATAACCCCCCGAGGCTTCCTGGGAGCCTGACACCCGCCCCTTGTCCCTGTCCTCCCTCCTCAGCTGACGCTCTTGGTTCAGGACCTGTGTCCAATGCTTTCCTGGGAGCAGGTGTGACCACGACAGAATGCTGCGGTCACCATCACGCATCTACCGAGACAGACCCACCAGCAGACGAGTGAATAAATCATAAAACAAATGCCAAGTGTAATTGTAATTTAATGTGACCACAACCTTCAGCAGAACCCACTGCTGCCTCCTGAGCTCCTAGCAATGACGAGGGGGCCAGGGGCGGGGACTGGTGCTGGGGTCTGCCTGGTGGAGTGAGTCCCCCCTCCCCAACCAAGGCTTCATGCCTCCCAGGGAGCAGCACGGAGTTTCATGCGTGAAGGGAGCAGATTCCATCAGGTATTGATGGATGTCAACATCCAAGTAAATTGACCAGAGCTGAAAATGGGTATGGGTTTTTTAGTGAATATATCTAAATTCAAAACTATTTGCACACACGAATCTATTATAATATCTAGCTATAGTAAAAAAAATATATATGTAATTAGAACGGCAAGCTTTAACAATCCATATACAATTTAATTATTTTTTATATTACGATAATATTACATCATGGATTTGTATTTTCTTATGGAGAGCAATGTTCACGGCCTTTTTTTTAACTGATAAAAAGCAGGTGATAAGACAGTATCCACAGTTAATTAAATGATATTTTGAACAATGTCTTTAAAACCTATGGACTGGTTTCCTGCCTTTAGACACTTTTGTGTTTCTCATTTCAGTCTAAAACTCAACCACACTGAAGCCCAGTGGTCCTGGGGTCATTTCAAGACCCTTCCGAGGAAGGACTCATATTGGGCCTTCGGAGCGTTAGCTCAGGGATTACGTTGCGGATGGAGTTTGCACCCTTCCTGATGGTCTCCTCTTGTCCCCCTCAGCCTCCTTCCAGCTGGTGGCCATTTTCCCGAGAACCCCACAGCTCGACTGGAAAGGGGGAAACATGAGTGATGAGAAAGAGAAACTATTTTTCACGCGGAGTCCGAGGTGAGGGCGAAGAAGGAGGAGGGAGTGGAAAACTCACTTCCGTTTTCATCAGTTCTGCTGGAGGGGCAAGCTTAGAGGATGCCACCAGATGGGGCCGCGGCCCCTCGGTGTACCTGGAGAGTCCGAGTTTACGCCTCGTGTCCCAGTGCAGTTACTCCGTGGTGTACTGGTTTGCAGAGAGAAGAGACCAGCCCAATGGAAGTGGTGTTCGTGCCACACTTGGGGCCCCTCTGAAAGTCGGGCCTGATTTTGGGGGGGGGACCAGGATGGGGACATCACCCACTGTCTTCTCTGATCCTCCTGAATTTCTTCTCATGTCATCCTTAATCCCCAAGTTCCTCTTTTCAACAAACTTTGAGCATCAGCTGTAGGTTGGGCCCCATGCTCAGCACTGAATGATAATGGGTCAAAAGTAAGACATAGAAGTATAAAACTTCTAATGTGAAATGTAAGAGAAAATCTTTGTGACGTGGTGTTATGCAAAATTTTTAAAGATGTGACAACAAAGGGGGTAATTCAAAAGAAAAAAACCTCAAGAAATGGCACTGCATCAAAATGAAAAACTGCTTTTCGGATGACACCGTTACGAAAACACAAAGCAAGTTCACAGACTTGGTGAAAATATTTGCCAAACACGTATCTGATGAATTACCTATGTCCAGGTTATACGAAAAATGTTCAAAGATCAATTAGAAAGTAGACAGCCCGGTTAAAAAAATAGGCAAAATATTTAAACGGACATTTCAACAAAGAAGGTATACGGATGGCAAACCAGCCGAGGGAAAGACGCTCCACATCATTAGTCACCAAGGAAACGCAAATTGAGAGCTGACTCCATACACATTAGAATGGCTAAAATGAAGACATAAATGAAAGCTGACACCACCAATGACACTCAAGGTCGTGGAGCATCCAGATCCTCAGTCGCTGCTGGCGGGCATACAAAAAATGGAGCGAGCACTTTGGAAAATAGTTTGCCAGTTTCCTAAAAAATAAACACACACGACTGGCCCCCAGAAACCTTATTCTTGCGCCTTTTGGCAAGAGCAATAAAATTTATGCTCGCAGATACACCTGTAAGTCACTGCTTACCGTGACTCTATTCATAATTGTCCTGAGCTGGCAGTAGCCCCAGTGTCCTTCATCGGCTGAGTGGATGAACGAGGTGACACATCCATACAATGGAATGCTGCTTAGCAACCGAAAGGAATGGACCACTAATGCATGAAACAGCAGGATGAATTTCAAGCAGATCGTTCTACATGAAAGAAGACGGACTTTAAATGCAATGTAGGATATGATTCCAATTACGTGACATTCTGGAAAAGGCAAAATTATGAAAATAGATCAGTGGCTGGCAAGGCCTGGTGCGGGGCAGGGGGTGACCACAAACCGTCACGAGGGAATCTGTTGGGGATGGAACTGTTTTATATATTCATTGTCCTGGTGTTTACACGGTGGTCTGTTAGCCAAAGCCCGAATTGTGTATTTTAAATGGATGATTTTTTTTTCTGTTGGTAAAATATACCTCAAGGAGTCCAATTTAATAACAGGATAAAATAAGACTTGTGAGGAATACATATGGTAAACGTGATGACATCACATTGAAAGGGAAGCAAAGAATGACATATGCAAGATTCGGGATGGTGGTCCCCTCAGCAGGGACAGGCAGGGGCATGGGGTGGCGTTTTTTGCGTGTGTTATTTAAATAATAGATAGAATGATGGATGGATGGATAAGTAGATAAGCAGATTGATAGATGATAGATGATAGGTAGATAGATATGGATGATAGATGATAGATGATGGATAGATAGGTGACAGATAGGCAGGTAGATACAGATGATAGATAGATGAGCAGTTGATAAAGTAATCGAGAGGGCCTTTCATGGACCAACGACGAGGAAATGCTACAGACTGAGGAATTGCGACTCCGCATCCGTGCACCTGATCCCCGACACCAAGCAGAGTGAGCGGCGGCCTCCAGGGACGCAGCTCTTCCCAGGACGCCGCCTCGCGTCCTGGGTCCCTCGTCCCCTTCCGCAGCCCTGGCGTACGTCGCAGAGGAGGACGGCTGGTCCTTGTTTGTCTGCCTGCTGCTTCTTGCCGGTGGACCTTGCTCGGAAGGCTCACCCCCGAGCTGGACCCGAGGGACAGCACCTCCCTCCCCAGAGCTAGCGCGGGCATTGTCAGGTCGTACTGTCCTCGTTTGAGGCCGGCCGGGCAGGCGTCTTCCCCGGGTGTTACTCCAGATCCCTCCGGAGGTCAGGGCACCGAGACATCCTCGGAGCGCTCCGCATCTGGGGGGACCTCACGCTCTGGGGTCAAGTATCTTCTTCTGTCATCGCGGGCTCGCCGTGGGCTCCGGTCTGGGAAGGACGAGGCGGCCATGAGGTGGGCGGGGGTCCGTGAGGGAGGGTGAGGAGGAGGAGACGGGACTCGGGCTGGGTGTGGGCGGCGGTCCTGCTGGCAGGACTGAGCCACACTCACCAGGGCATGTGTCAGCCCCAAAGTGTAACCCCAAAATCGCACATCACTGGGATTAAAAGTGGCCTCTGTACATATTTCTGGAAAACCACGTGACGTGGGAAAACAATTATTTCCTTCTGCGACTAAGCTTGAACCCCGGGGCGTCTGTTAGTGCCACACCCGCATTTTTGCCGGGGGGCTCAGCCATCACAAACGTACACAGTACTCAGCGCCCACTGTCCCCGCTGGGTGGCTGGGCGGTAGGGCCCCTGCAGGCAGAGAAGTGCCTCTGGGTCACTGCTGAAATCCAGGCCCCGCATGCGCCTCTCAGACAAAGAATCGAAGAAGAATCCTGGACTGGCGGTGGCAGTTAGGAAGAAGAGAGGCCCAGAGCCAACTCTGTGCCGAGGAGAAAAGCCGTGGAGGGCCGTCTCACAGCGCTTCCACCATCCGGTTCCGCTCGGCCTCAGGCCTCACCATCTGGTTCAGCACCACCTGAGACAGTCACGGGCGAGTGGGTGACAGCTCAGTGCTCAGGGCAACCGTCAGGTTGAAACTGACGCCACACCCAGAGGGGACACCGTCTCGTTTTCGAGCAGAGAGGGCGGGGTGACCCCGCCAGGCTTCCCCCTGCCACCGCCAGGCATCCCTTCTCTGCGCCCAGGACCTGTACCCCGAAAGAATCTGGAATCGCTGATTCAAAATGAGTCAGTCGTAGATTGGAAAGAAAAAGGAAACTTTAGTCTTTACTCTTAATTTAGTGTTTTATAACAGATAGCCAGTCCTTTAAGCCTGCAGCTAGTCAGAATCATTAGCTGTAATGAAGTTTTATTGAATTGCATTTAGTTAAATTTAAATATGTAGGGGCCGACGTCCCGATG